ATAGATACAAGTATTCTAACAATGTTAGGCTATTGAGCGATCAGCACAACCATGACTATCTTCGAGCTTCCCTCTAACATCACCACTTTGATTGGGCCCAATTCAGTAACATCTACAACATTTATACAACGACTTTCCTTTTTAAGCCTTTCCTTTCCTCCTCCTGCTTACATACAGACTGTAACGATTAAACCAGCTGTAACCGGAATGGTTTTTTCTTACTGGAACCAAATGGACTAGTGACATGTAGGCCTAATGAAACTACTTGTACAGTGCTTAATGAAGGGACTGGATTTGCTGGTTATAGAGCTGAAGCTATGGAGCTAGCCAATGATCTGGTTCGAATCGATGCCATCTCTGAGTACTCGTTCAAGAGATTGCATACGGGAAGGACATATTTACATTTTATCATAATTAATCTATTCAATATATATATATGATCCGTGGAAATATTTTCAATAATTTTTCAATTTAAAATTGATTACAAATTGATCAGATAATGTATTATAAATGGATCAGACAAAGAAAAAATATTTTAAATATATTTATAGGGGATTATTCGCTAAATAACCGATAAATAAATAAATTATATTTCAGTTTCTAACCAATTTCTCTCTCTATATCTTTTTATATCTCTTTTAAAAAGTAGGTTAATTTATCCAAAAAACAATTTAGCATCATATATTTTAATTAACCAACTAACATAATGGATCGGATAATGTACATATGTTCCTCAATCATTCCAAAGCTTCTCTATTAAATGCAATGAACACATAAATAACTATATACATATTTGAGTCTTTTGTTATCAAATTTCATGAATTTAAAACTTTACATACAGACGCTATATATATATTACTTACAGTATCATTGCGATTTTACGATTATTCTTTATTTATATTAATAATTGATTAATTGATTGTGAGCTAAAATATCTATAGACATAACATAAATAAAATTGAAGCAAAATACAAACAAAATATAAGTAAAATACAAGCAAAAAATACGCAATGTATGAGTAGAAAATAAGTAATATATATATATATATATATATAATAGATGTTAAGATTCATTTGGAGGAATATTAAAGAATAAAGAGAAGTGGAGAATTGTAATATTGCAAAAGAGAGATAACTACAGAGAAGGTAGATTGACGTGGTTGGTGCAAAAGAGAGATAATTAAAGAGGGTAGATGTTAACGTGGTCGGACCATATTTAAGAAATAAGAACATGTACAATTAATATATTTTTTTATTAGACAATAATTTCTCATCAATTTGGAAGATTTACTTCGAATGTCAAGAGGCTGATGTATTACGGATAAGCCGTACTGCAGTTGGATACTGAGGTGATCAACCTTCATGCTTACGAACAACATCCAAATTTGGTTTGTTATATTATATGTCAATAACAGGTATAATTAAAATATATACGAGGTAGAAATACGATCTAGATTATCAATATATTGATCAACCTTCCAACGCCGTCGTTTCAAACAAAAATTTATGAAGCCCAAATAGTTTGCGAACCAAAATTTATGAAGCCCAAAAAGCAATTTTATCTTTCAACGTCGTCGTTTCGTTTACTGTGTCAGACGTTACTGAAGTGCGCGAGTGCAAAATTGAAACTTTTTTTTTTGAGGTTCTATATTGTATATTTGTATCCGATCGTGATATCCTCTTCTCTTGCACAGTAATTTGTTTAGTGCATTCTTCTTCTTCCATATCTTTTTATTTAGTAGTAGTTGATTACTTTTTCTTTGTGGTTTTTTAAATCTTTCAAATTTGTTTTGTATTTTTTCTGTTTTGTGTTTAGCTTATTTTTATTAGTTTTAACATATGTAAAAGTGTATATCTTACGAAATGAAAAAAAAATAATAATAATATGTATATATGAAATCAAATGAAATTGGTACAATCATTAAAATAAATCACACACATAATATAAATATATTTATTTTTGTTTTAAAGACAACAAATTATTATTATTATTATTATTATTATTATTTATATACACTTTAAAAAACCAATATAATAATATTTTATTAAAAGTTTTAATATTAAAAATAATATTGCCCCCGGTCAAAAATATTTTTGGCTCCGCCACTGCTGGTGAGTCCCTACGATATTGCATCCTACAACCATTTCATTTTTACTATATAGCTTTATTATCTACATATTACGATTTTATGCAGATTTCATATACATATACGGCATGAAATTAAAGACTTGGTGACGTTTCCTGGAATTTCGAAAAAAATTGTAAAGAAAATTTTTGTTGCTATATAAAATTGCTAGAAGATCTTCAAATGCATTGTATCTAGGAACTGCAATTGTTAGTCGTAAAGTAAGATTATATTGTTTAAATTAAATATTGATAAAAGAGTGTGGTCAACTCAATTAGTGAACTAGTTTGCAAGAATATAGAATATTATATTTTGATACTAAGAAAGCTTCATACACGCATGCACATTCATGCACATATATAGTGGTAATATCTTTTAAACCGTGTTATTTTATGCGTGGGTGGCATAAGTTGTTGAAGCTCCACACTACTGATTTGAATCCAGCCCTAATATGATACTTTTTTGGGCCACCAATAGGTATTGGATTGTATTGATCTTCTACTTAGTTTATTATTGCTTTATAATGTCACACTAATATACATGTTTTATTCTACTAAGAGAAACCCGTTTGTAAGTTCTTTTGTTTTATATAGTTTGCTTAATTTGTACAAGGACATTTAGTTACAAGTTACAACGTTACAACTTACAAGTAGTCATTGAAATTTTCTGTTGAAAGTTTGATGGAAGTTTTGAGTTAGAGTCGAGTAATTGTTTGATAGGATTCTATCAGCTAATCATACCTTTTTTGGTAAAGCATGTGAATATATGTTTATGTAAGAAATTCAATAAGACGACACGATTTAGTATGATCGATGCCCATATTAATTTATTTTAAAGTCATATATATGAAGTGGTTGTTTCTCAATTCTCATAAAAATCAAATATACATTTTATTAGACTTTGACTTCTAGATAGACAGCTATTTACGATGTCAAAAAAGAGAGAAAAGATGACAGCCATTTGCAATTATATGATGATCCACGTCATGAAATTGTCAAAGTAAGTAAAGTATGAAATATCATGAAAAACGATTTAATAAAAACGTCAATATTCAAAATATTGTAGAAGAGCGTAGAAGAAGAAGGTTGAATATAAACTATACTATAAGTTATAACGTTACATGGGTCCAACGGACCGTTAATGGCACTTATGTAGGGTTTGTCGGTAACAAATCAGGAAATAATCAAAGGAAAACAACATTTTTTAATTAGACGTAAAACCCATAACTTAGAAGATTATAATATGGTATCGTGAGATATGTAAGCGACGTTAACCACTATGATGAAATTAAAATGTGGGTCGCCTACCCATCTCGCAGAACTAATTAAAGAGCTAGGGAGATAAAAAGAAGTAGAAACTGATCTTATAACATGTACGTCCAACCAAATTCATCTAAATATTGATATATGTCAACAATATATATTTAAAAATATATTATTATCTTAGTATTTCCATTTTTCAACTTTTCCCTATTAACATATTTTCCGATTTTTTTTTTAATGTAAATAGTGTTTTTCGACTACACACCACTAATTCTTTACTCATACATGGTAAAAGGACTACTTTGGAACAACGAAATTAAAAACTCAAATATTTTGTAACACATGACTCTCAACTTTACGATTACTGACCAAATCAGATATATTTTGTTTTCGAATGTCCTTATATACATATAAGATTTTATAAGGATTAGTAATTCGGTCCTATAAATACGCAAGTGGCCATGTTGGGGATGTTTGAGAATTGAGGTTAGCTTCTGAAATCTGCATGTTATAGTTTTGGCACAATTAGAGTAGTCAAAACGAAGCATTTTCTAGCTTTTGTTCATGTTTATCTTCTTCTAACTCTTCATAAATTTTCATTAGAAAATGATTTGAACTGATTCACCATCAAACAACATACGTACAGTTTTAGCATACAAACGTATAGTTTACTTCTATCTGTACATGTATATATATACATTCGTTTCTTATAAACAGGTTTTTATAAAAAGTTTAAAACGATTTTTGCATAACATCGTCTTTGATATTCTGTTAAATAAAGTTCGTGTTCTACTCCCACCTTTATGTCAGAGTATATGTACAAGTCTAACCCAGTTTTTATAGATCAGGATTTTGTCAACTCTTACGATTAAAACAAAATTAAAAGGTATGATGAAATTTTGATATTGACAAATGAACTCAAACGATAAAGGTACTAGCAAGTAGCCAATATGTAGAGTTACTATTTCTTTTCTAAGACAAAAAAAAAAAGAAAGAAACAATCAAAGGTCAAAAGGGGTGGCAAAAATGTGTAAAAGGAGAGGAAGAAGGAATCAATTATGGCATGTGAGTTATAAAAAAACATAGACACAAAAAGCTGACACTCTTCTCTTTTCACCACCGCCGCGACCCAATGACTGTAATTACTTCTTTGTTAACCATTTCTTATCCGATGAAAAGTCAAACATCTTAATCCGTCTCACGTGTTTTTTAATTTTTATTTTATTTTCGTAAACCACCCAACTCAAAAAAAAAGTCAAATCTATGTTCCTCGTTCGTTCCATAAGAAAATATTAATAATAATAAACTTAAATAGGTTTTTTCTTTTCTTTTTCGGCATATATACACAAAGACAGCTTTACAGAGAGTATAGTATTTGTATTTTCCGTGTTTTGACTTTTTAATAATTGTGAATTTCTGCCATTTCCTTTATATTTAAAGCTCACCTCCTCTCTCTCTTCTTCCTAACTTATTCAAACCAATTCGCATCTTCCCAAAAACCCAACTACTACACCTTGCAGCAAGAAAAATATATAATTTCTGTTTTGTTTTCTCAGCTTCTTTGATCAATATATTCATCTGGGTTCTCGTCCAAACTCACAACCTCTTCATTATTATTTTTCCGGAGGATTAATGGATGATGAGATCGAGATTCCTCCCTTCTTCCTTTGCCCCATCTCTCTAGAGATCATGAAAGATCCGGTGATAGTCTCTACCGGAATCACTTACGACAGAGACAGCATCGAGAAATGGCTCTTTTCCAGCAAGAAGAACTCGTGTCCGGTCACCAAACAAGACATAACCGACGCAGATCTCACCCCTAACCACACTCTTCGTCGTCTCATCCAATCTTGGTGCACCTTAAACGCCTCCTACGGCGTCGAGAGGATCCCAACCCCGAGACCTCCTATATGTAAATCTGAGATCGAGAAGCTCATAAAAGTGTCAGCCTCTTCTCATCAAAACCAGGTCAAGTGTCTCAAACGACTTCGTCAGATTGTATCCGAGAACGCCACCAACAAGCGGTGCTTGGAGGCGGCAGGAGTACCGGAGTTCTTGGCCACCATCGTAAGCAACAGCAACTTGGAAGATGGGCTTGATTCTTCGAATAGTTTGACCGACGAAGCCCTCAGCTTACTCTACCATCTCGAGACCTCGGAGACAGTCCTCAAGAATCTTTTAAACAACAAGAAAGGAAACGATATCGTAAATTCGTTAATCAAGATCATGCAGCGAGGGATCTACGAGTCCAGAGCCTATGCAACCTTGCTTCTCAAGAACATTCTTGAAGTAGCGGATCCAATGCAGATTATGACGCTGAAGCCAGCGGTTTTCACTGAGGTCGTCCAGATCTTGGACGACCAGATCTCGTACAAGGCGACGAAAGCTGCCATGCATATATTGGTGAACATATGTCCATGGGGAAGGAACAGGCACAAGGCCGTGGAAGCTGGAGCGATCTCTGTGATAATCGAGCTTCTCATGGACGAGAGCTTCTCATCAGATAGGAGAGGTCCAGAGATGGCGATGGTGGTTCTTGATCTGTTGTGTCAATGTGCGGAGGGAAGAGCCGAGTTCTTACACCATGGAGCCGCTATAGCGGTGGTGTGCAAGAAGATATTAAGGGTTTCGCAGATGGCAAGCGATAGAGCTGTTAGGGTTTTGTTATCGGTGGGAAGGTTCTGCGCGACGCCGGCTTTGCTAAACGAGATGTTACAGTTGGGGGTTGTATCCAAGCTGTGTCTTGTGCTTCAGGTTAGTTGTGGAAGCAAGACTAAGGAGAAGGCAAAGGAGTTGCTAAAGTTGCACGCTAGGGCTTGGAAGGACTCGCCTTGTCTCTCAAGAAACATGATTCTTGCATATCCCTCCTGATGAAAACCAAGAAAACAACTTAAAGGCATACAAACGAGTCCAATTCTCAATGAGTGCAAACACTTTTTTTCTTAGAATTGTTCTTACTAACTTGTTGTAAAGACTAGTGGTTTATTCCTATAATTGATCCATTTTTTGAGTTTTCTTTTTTCAATACCTTTGATATTCACAATGCAGATAATAGGAGAAACTGTAAATATATAAATGAAATCACATGTTACATGGCTATTCTCACTTTAAATGTTCATTATTGTGAAAGCGATTTTATAGTTTTTTCTTTTATTTTTATATATTTTTCTCTAATTTTCCAGTAACAAGGGAACATGTCATTTTCATCCTTGCCTTTGTATAAGTTTTCTTCTACAACCATTTTCTTCTGAGTGATAAGTAAGATGCAAATATCAGTTTTTTAATATTCAAATTTAGACTAAATTGCTGCAGTGTTAAATTTATTAATCAACCCAACGTACTTTACCTTGTTTTAAATAACAAGAATCTATCTCTGTTTTTAACAATCAGGGCACATGGTGTCAGTACAAGGAAAAAACAAGTTATAATCTAGATGTTAAAAAAAAAAAATACTAGGGAACGTACAAAAACAACATAATTATAATAATATAATCTCATTTCAGGTCGCATCAACTGGCTGGAAATTTATTTTATAGTAATGCATTTCTTAGAAGAAAAACATAGAGATCATTGTGTTACTATACTTTTGTGAGTCGATCAAATCTAACGACTAAAATTTTCATTGACCAACGAAATTAGAGACGTCTAATTACTACAAGACGCAGTCGAGAGTGAAGACAAATATATAGAATACTACAAAAAGAGCCACCCAAGAAGAAATATTAACAAAGAAAATTGACACCAATATAACTGAGCAGCAGGCCAATATTGAACCGTACCACCCACCCATATAACATAAACTATGATTAAAAAAAAGTAAAAACATGCATTTATTTAAATGGGTGTATTGTATATAGTGAAAAGGAAAAAATAGTGATTACTTTTTTATTTTGAACAGAACCTAGAAGGAGTCATATATTGCGAGCAGCTCACAAAATCTAAATGAGTTTAAAAGTACAAAAGGTAGGGTCCAGACTGGACCACAACTTGTAGCTGTAGTTGAACAGTACACAGACAGATTCATAATTCATTAATAAATATAAACAAAAAAGTCTTGGACTTGATAAATAAAACAGTTGTATTTGTGCTGTTTCTCAACGATCACAAATACCTTCCTAGCTACCTTTTATGTTCTTGTTATTTTTGATTTTTTTTTAACATTTATATTTTTTTATCAAATGTGATGAACACACATTAAGATTTTCATCGACTGAAAAAAATTATTAATAATAATTTGGTGGTTGCTTTTTCATTGGTTGGAATTACTTAACGTAGTCTCTTCTAAATCGAAAGTGTTTAAAGTTGTGTAGAAAGAAGGATTGAACAAAAAGTTCAAAAAAAAAAGAAGGATTAAAAATATTATACGAATTCTTTTTTTTTTTTTTAAATTGAGTTTGTCCAATAATAGATCAAAGATAGATATGGTGCGTTCGAACTTCGCCCTCTTGCCTTAGAATTGAAATGCGCCATATAAAATTCAGTCAATACATGCTTTTCAGTTTACATATAAGTATGGAGTATATCGTTATATATACTCTCTTTCCATGGGACTTGGAGTAGTAAATGCGAAAACCGAAGTTATTGCTATCTTAACGTCTACTCTCGTGAACAATACTTTTTCGTATGTATACATTTTGGTGGAGGAGGAGAATCCACATATTTGTATTTATATATATATTTTTGTTATGCCTTAATGTTTTGATCCATATATTATTTGACGGCATATAGACACTCCGATATTCAGGTGCATACAAATACACGCGCCCTTATATACTTGTTTGTGCATGCATTACATCATAAATGTGTGATTCGGACGTGAAGGACCAAACTATTTTGACGCCGCAAAGGAAGACTTGTTTCTATTCGATCGTTGTATCATATTATTTAACGAGAGATAGAGAGAGTTAGTTTCACAGTAAACTAAAAACTAAATGAATCCCCACGTAGTTTTAAATTTATATAAATATACAAGGACGTAACAGAGACACGTAAACGCCCACTCTACGAATATGAATTAACCATTTGACCTGCGCTCATGATTATTCTTGTTTTTATAACAATTTTATTAAATTTCAACTTATGATTCTGACGAATTACCAAACTATCGCACGTAAACCAACCAATAATTTGCAGATAGAACTTAAATCATTTCTGTCAATCTGTGTCCATATATATAAAATTTAAGAGCCTTAGACTTTGCAGTTTTTGACAATGACAGACGTAGTTGGACATTTGGGTAGAAGTAGTCTTGAAAGTGAAATCTCATAGTCATGGCTCATTTCAGTTGAGCTAAACCGAAGATAACACTTTTGATTTAGTCACCTTTTCAACTGACAATGTGTAATCAAAATTGATTCCATAAACAGTAGAATCCTAGCAAGACATATCTCATATCCACCAAACTTAAGTTTGTATTCAAAATAACACTAACCACATACATCACCTCCTCTTACATATTTCCACGGTCAAGATCCATATTTTTCACCGTCGGTCGTCGGATTATCCACTAGATAGTATAAAATTAACCTAACCCTGACCCTGGTTAATCTAACTTTCCTATACATGTAACCTGATTGTTTGTTCAGTCCATGGCTTGGGCTTGGGCTTGGATTTGGGCTTGGATTTGAAGATCTTTCTTCTAGATGTAGCTTACTTCATTGATGTGTCTGATTTATAAGTTCACTCAACTCTAAAGGGTGGGTGCCAAATTGCAAGATAACTTCATGTTACCCACCGTTTTAGCGCTTCTAAGACCAATTTATTGACAAAAGAAAAGGATGGTAGTCTCAAGTGTAGCCAGAGCTTTTCATTAGAAATTACAGACAGCAACAAGATGATGATAAACATAAATATTTTCTTCTGAACATACATAATTTGTAACCTTAAAAGAAAGATATGTGAAAATGGGATTTGAGATGACACTACAAAACTCGGCAGAACTTTCAACTACAAGTTTTAGACTGCTCAAAATTGAACTATTACGTGCTTTTATAGTTCCAACAAAACGACCTCGTTTTCTATTAAATAAGGATTTTTACAATCCCTCTTACACATTGGTACCTTGTTAAGACCTGATGTTTCGGCTACGCAACAACTCAACCACAGCTGAAACCACTCCTTTCCCCTCCACAGTTATGTCCAAACTTGGATCCTCTATCTTCCTATTCAGCAGTTTGTCCACCTCTCCCCTCAATCTCTGCACAATCATATTCATCCTCTTCAGATGAAGAACATTAAAAAAGATTTGACAGAGATAATCCAAATTTTTGTTTACCTGTATCAGTTCCAAGACGTTCTTGGAGGCTGAGAAATGGAGATACCCTCCCAACATCTCTATACCTTCCCCTGTTTGGCTCGGGATAAGATTGCCACCAAACATAAGCAGTGCGTAATCTGATATGTTTGTTGAGTCCCTGATATACACACTCGTCGTCTTCACCTTCTCGCTGTAAACCAAGTACGGCAACGAGAAGAGGTGCACTCTTGCGTTGACGGATCCAGGGTGGATATCAACTTTACCCAACTCTTTAGTGTAGAACGCAGTGCGCTTCCCTCTTCTTTTGCATTGCACAACGTTTGGGTACAGTCCCGCACACAGAACCGCGCTTATCATCTCCATGTCGTGGCTGTATTGGTTGTATGCCTGTTTTAGCACCATGTGCGTGTTAGTTTTAGATTATATCAGCGTTCCAAAATATCATAAGATTATTAGGACTGGTTCGTGACGCTTACATTTGGGCCCCTTGATTTGTCGACGAACCCTATATCTGAAAGAAGATCAAGAAACTGGTTTCTCATATCCTCCATCATCTTTAGGGTTACAGGGGAAAGGAAGTTTTGCCAACAAAAATCTCTTTCGTTTCCACCACGCTTTGCGTCCCTATATCCTTCAAATGCCTTCACAAGAGCAATGTGATCACTGCACAACACAGAAATGTCAATCTTTTCGGTAAGAAACAGAAAACTCAGTGACCCGGTTGAAAATAAAGCAATTCGCCTATACGTCATACCTGCAGGAATCCCCAGCAAAATATCTTTTGGCATCATCTGCTTCTTCTTTCCTATTTAACGGTAAGACAAATGGGCTACGATAAGCCAGAGCAGCGGCGATTGTCAGAGCAGGATTGACGCATTGGAAGATAGCTCCTATCAGAAGCATCTTTCCAATATTTGGGTCTACGGGTAGTGTACAAAGATGGCGACCTGCAACATGATGGTTTCAATAATGGCTTATATTAGAAACTATAACATAAACATGCACAACGATAAAGAACAAACAAGGTGCTGCGTACCAAGGGGTGTAAGCGCTTCCACGTCATCTAAAGCCCCGATTGTTTTGAGAAGCTCAATAGCATTCTCAACAGCAAGAGCATCTGGCGGCTGAAGTGCCTTTGCCAAGAACGATCCTATGGATCCAACCTGCAAACTTTTGATATGCAGGCATAACTCTTGCAATGGAGTCCTTATGATTTCTGGTAACTGATACTGTGGGAAAGCATCATAGATAACTTTTGGATACAGCCTATAACAAACTCCAGCTTGGACACGTCCTGCACGACCTCGTCTCTGCATTTGTACCAAAGCCG